CTGTCGTGCTCTCTGTAACACATCTCTGACTAAGGAAGAGAAACGGAGCAATGGTGCAGCTATCCTTGCCTGGTAGGGGTTGAAAAGCAGAGCTTTGTCTAATTCTTGTTCTATGACCCAGTGAACTTTGAACAGAGGCGAAAAAGAAAAGAAAAAAAAACTCTTTCCAACATCCCTTCCATGTCCAGTTGATATCCCAACATCTCATACATAGTTCAGTGTAACGCAAGCATCTGAATGAATTCTGCAGCTAGCTGAATGTCCTGTCATAAGGATGACTGTTCTCATTTCATGAGAACTTTGTTTGTTTGTTTGTTTGTTGTGGTACTATAAATTGAACTCAGGATCTTGGCACTGAGCTATATCCCAAGGCCTTTTTTATTTATTTTGATGTAGGGACTTGCTAACTGGCTAGGTAGGCCAGGCTGGGGTCGAAATTGCAGTCCTCCTACCTGAATCTCCCAGAGCATGGAGACTACAGCCATGGCCCCACACCCAGTTTAGGAATTTTAAGTATTATGAAAGTCAATGTGTTGCCCATTTGAAAAATGTATATTAATTGACTTCCTATTATATAGATATCCAGAAATGAATAGAGGCAAACAAAGCAGACACAAAGTTGATCAACTAGAGAATAAACACAAATAAATAAAAATTAAGCACAGACACATATATAAAATTACAAATTATGATGCAGTGATGAGGGGAAATGCGTGGGGTGGTATGAGGACACAGGACAGAAAAGACAGCATAGTTGGCACTGATGCATTGGGGAGCTCTCTCCGAGACAGCAGAGGAGCAGAAAAGTGAGCGGGCAGACTGCACAGCCCTCAGCAAGGGCCTGAAGCTGAACAGCCAGCGAGCAGCCCAAGTGGGAAGGAGCCAGCTAAAAGAGGAAGTGGATAGGGAAGGTGGTGGCCAGGTTATAGAAGGCCTTACTAAGCCTCGGTGAAAAACTTGGAACTTTATTCTAAGTGCTAGGAGCAGTGGGAAGCCACCAAAGGATTTGAACTGGGATAGCCAGGGGACCTCATGAACATTTTTTAAGAGATTTACTGCACCAGTTGTATAAAATAGATTGGATGAAGATGGGAAATTTTTGCTCAAGTTCTTTTAGAAAGTTGACAAGCAGAGCCCAGGGAGGCTTCCACATCACCTTGACTCAGACCACGGAGATCTGTTTTTTAAAAAATTACTTATGATTTATTATCTTAAAAGTGTGTACCATTTATCAAGTTGAAGTGTACTGTACTTCTTTCAAATGTCTTATCAACTAAAATGAACTAAAGTCACACACAGTTGCTTCAGGGCTCTGTTCCTGGCCACTCTTTTTTTCTACTTCCCAGGTTTTCCAAGAATGGTGGTTCACAGGGCTAGTCACAACTGGGAAATAAATATATAGGGCATTTGCAGCTGATTCTGATCCTCCTACACAGCCTCAAGTTCATTACACAGCAGTAACAACAAATGTCAGTGGCAGGAAGTACACAACGAGAAGAATTAACCGCATTTCTTTTTTCATCCACACTCACACACAGAGTCACACACACATACAGTTGGTTTGAGGTGGGTAGAGTGGAGGTCACCAGCCTCCTTACATTTTCAACCAGTAGGATCTCAAGGCAGTCATCAAAACAACAGGCTTTTAATAGTTGACCTTTTAAGACAGAGGGTTTTGAGGGGAGAAGAGACAGAAAGGAGGGAAAAAGCATAGGCTTTGCATCGCTTGTCATTCTAACAGTTGAACACTGAATCGGTCTTATTATATTGCAGATACATTAATTTGATGAAGACACAAGCCGTGGGTCATTCAGGCATATAAAGTACTCTTGCTTAATTGCAAAATTAACAGTGGAACAGGATAAGTCATTACTAAACTGGAGGTTACTCTGGGACTTGTGGATTTTTTTTTTCTTCCACTCAATTCATTTTCTCCATCTAATGTTGTTTTTCACACTCACTTACAGGAAAAATCTAGGCTAAGGCGACAGTACTTGGCACACCAGCACTCTGCTCTGAAGGCACTGGTGAAGGAACGCATGTTCACGCAGAACAGGAAATGCTGGTAGACCCATCTTACAAAGAGGCTCCAAGAGTCCCTCAGCCTCAGAAGTATTCGTAATCATCTCATAATTTGCAGCACTCAGGAAGCTATCCACAGCCTCAAGAAATCTACTGTGAAATCTAAAGGCATAAAACCTAGTTTCCAATTGCATTTCATTAATCCTTCTCTATCATCTTATTTATTTTTAGGAGCAGTCTAATTTTCAGGTCCTTTCAATTTTTGGTCAAATATCCATGGACTATCTCTGGGCATGGTGGCGCACTCCTGTAATCCCAGCACTTGGGAGGCTGAGGCAGGAGGATTGCTATGAATTCAAGGCCAGCATGGGCTACATAGAGAGACTCTGTCTCAAAAAAATCAATAGATGTCTATGGAATATGTACATATTCCAACCACTGTATTAAATGGCGAAAATATAAAAATGAAGATGACTCCAAGATTTCCCTCTAGTTAGTCTGGGTTCCCTCCCTTCTGTGGCTCCATAATAAGCTCCTAACTGTCAGTGTGCTAGAGCAGATGCTTGCAAAGCACTGTGGAGCGCGAGAGAAGAAAATCAATCAGGGGAAGATGCAATTTGAGTTGACCTTAAACTGAAGTAGGAGCACCGAGTCGGCCATTCTTACTGCACCAACAAGGTTACCATCTGCGAATTTCTCAGGGCCACTGATCAGACTTAAAAACAGGCTTCCAAACCCACCTGTGCTTGGTCCTGCAGACAGACCTCAGAATACAGGGCGACTTCTGATATCTGCCATGCCACAGGCAAGCCAAGCCTGCCTGCAGCTCAAAGGGACTGATGTTTATCCTATGGCTGTAACTGTAGGCTCCACACACCCTAGAGACTTGTGAGATAAGAGCGAGATGTTTCCAGAGGAGCACTCCTCTGAAATCCCAAACAGTTTGCAGAAAAGCAAGGAATGAGAGAAGCAAACTCTTCACTACTTTGCAGAGAAGACTCAGCACTGTCTGACACCTAAGATGCCAAGATGATGGAACTCAGAAAAATGCTGAAACATTTTACTCTCCTCCTGCACCTTCCTTCTGAGAGGCTTGAGACGTTTCAGAGAGATGGATGTGCATTTTAATCATTGGCAAGTTACTGTATCTACAGAATTCCGAAGCTTCCCCTTGCCTCATTTTTGAGGGATGTGGAGCATATCCACTGAGGAGCGCTTTGAAAAACAGCCATGTGTGTGGTGAGTCCTGCTTTGCCCAGAGCCAGAGCAGGCCCTGACATTTGTTCTACCCCACCCAGAAGGCAGTTTCTTCTCCTGTTGTTACATGGAGAAGTAAAAGCCAGTCCGCATGGAAGAGAAAGCCCAAAAGCCTGTGTGGATATCGGCTCTGTTCTGTGTTCTTGAGCAAAGTAATTTATATATTTGGCTTGGGATCTTGTTTTCCCATTATCCTCAAAAGGCACCCACGACCTCTACTTTCCATTCTCGTTCTCATAGTTTACAAAACTAGGATTCCTCCTACTGTGATCCATTAACATTAGCAAAGGCCAAGAGCCATGAAGAAGAGGATCATAGTCATCTCTGCTTCCTTGCCTCTCAAATGAAGGTGTCACCTACATTGCAGGGTCCCTAGAAGTATTAGCTGTAATCTGTGCTAACCCAGGGCCCCCTGGGTGGGGTTATAATCAAAACTCAGAGGTTCCATTATAAGTCTCTACCAGCCCAATATTTTGTGTTCCCAAGTTTCAGACATCTTCATGGCTCCAGCACATGGTTCTTGATTTGCTATTGGCCACTGGGAACTTCAAATTCAAATGTTTTGGCTTTTTTTACTCTGTCCAGAGGCCACATGGAAAGTCTGCAGACTTTTCTGTTTCTTTTGGCCTGGAACCTTGGGCCCGTGAGCTCCAGGTTGCTCCAGGTCTGTGAAAGAGCCCGTGGGAGGCCTTTCCTAAGAGCAACTACTTGCTGAAACCTGCCAATTCTTTGTGCGCTCCTGTGATTGCAGAAGAAGAAGAATAGGAGACGGAGACTCTGAAGCCTGGCATTAACAGTGCTGGGTGGTTCTGTGTCTGCAGTGCTTGGATGCCGTCCTCCAGGGTGATCAGAGCTTGAGAAGGGTCAGTCTTCTTTAGTAACTGCAATGACATTGAAGGCTGAGCAGGCCAGAAGTCCTAGAAACATGTCTCACTAACTCAGAGTCCTCATCCCCTGCAGAAACTGGAAAAAAAAAATCAGAAAATTCCATTTGCTTTTTCCTATTTAATGAGGTCGAACATTCTTAAGGAATGAAAAGTGCAGCTCCAGCCTGGCTTTTAATTAGCTTCAGGAGCCCTTGTTTCAAACTAGCCTCATTCCCAAAGCTATTCTCTCTCTGCTCTGAATGAGATGGAAAGTCAATTGCATGGCCTTGTCAAATCACAATAAGATGCTCCCTCCACCCTCATGGTCACATGGGAAAAGACACTCAATAGCCAGACAGACCCTGCACTTTTTGACCCCAGCAGAACACCAGAACCTGAAAAGGGCCATCAAAAGAACTCTAGACTAAATTTTGCGCTGTTTGGGGTTTTTTTTTCTCAATTCACTGCATGAACTCGGTCTTGTTTGTCCACGTGTACAGTGGGAAAAATATGGACTTTAGAGTCAAATAGACATCAGATCAAATCCTGCCTTCCCATCTGAGTGCCTGTTAGGTTAACCCCACACTCACTGCTTCTGTTCCCTCATTTGTGATACCGATACTCGTGTCTGCCCTGTGGAGTGGCTGCAGGAACCAAATGAGACACGGCATAATGCCCCAGATGCCACAGCCACTCAGTAAACATGATATCTCTTCTTTCCTCTGACCTGGAAGACAGAGCCAGTATCCCCCACTACGCCTATCACAATGGGTTAACTAATGGCCCAAAAGGATAGTGTGATCCAGAGACTGGGGCCTTGGTTTTGTAGTCTAAAGCCAGGGTTCAAATCTCAGTCCTGTTCCCTCCTAGCTGTGACCATGGGCAAGTTCCACAACCTCTCAGTTTCTTTGCATTGAAAGTGGGAATAATTCACAGCTCCTCCATAGGATTACTGTAAGGAGATGAAGTGAGACAGTGCATGAAAAACCCTTGCCTACTGCCTAGCACATGGTAAGTACACCATAAATTATTAGCTAGTAGCAGCAGCAATGGCATCTGAGAGTGCATTGTAAAATTTAAAAGTCCTCTAAAACTTCCATCTTAAATCCTTTCTGGAAAGAATGCACCAATGTTACCGGTGCTTATGTAAATGTAAGTGGTTATTATTTATGTAGGAGAACATTACTGAGTATTATGCAGGAAGAGGGAGAGAACAATGTAGAGGAAGAAAAAATTTATGATGGGCTTCAAAGTGGAAAAAGGAGAACATAACATCTCACCTGCAATATAGAAGCAGCTCCATATAACCCAGAGCTATTCAGACTGCAAAATAATAATAATAACAATAATTACACCAACAAAGTCTTCTCTCAAGGAAAGAAAAAGAGATGAGAGAGAATGAAGAAGAAAAATCTCATTCTGCTTCATCTAAAATTAATCCTAAAATTGTATTTATTCAAGAAACTCTGACTAAACACTAAGCCCATGGGCAGTGTAGGGCCACAGCAGCCTGACTCTGCCCTCAGGAAATTTGTAGTCCACCCAGGACTATACAACCAGGACAGAAATAACTAATTAAAGGTGGAAACCAGAGGGTTAGGAATCATGATCATCACCATTACCATGATTAGAAGTCATTTTTATGGAGTTCCCCTGATGATACCATCCACTTTTTTCTAAAAAGAATTTTGGGCAATTTATAACGTGAAGAATGTTACACACTGAGGGTGTTGTTGTTTTTTTAATAGAACTAGAAATTTAGATTAAAGTCAAAAGCAATGGCAAAGGCTAAACTCATTGTTGAGCTGGTCATCAGATTCAACTCTGATATTCCTGGAAGTCAGGGAAAAATGAGAAACACATTATTATCATTTCATTTTTTGAAAGATTGATGCATTTTGCACTTTCTTAGTTTTATTTATTTGTATAACTTTGTGATTCATAAAAATTAAGACATTCATCTTGGGAACTGGTACACATGCATTTCACATCTTAATCAATTTCAGTTCCTCTTTTCCTCCTCACTTACCCTCTGCCCATTCCCAGAGTCCCTTCTCATCTCCACTCAGTCTACCTTCTACTTCCTACCATCTCTCTTTTATTTTGCTGTTTAAATTATTTATATTTTAGGTTTCTCATATAAGAGGGACCGTGTACAATTTAATCTTGGGGGTCTGAGTTATTTCACTAGCTATAATTTAATCTCTTGAACATCGACGGTCTCTTAGGCAGTATACACAATGTGGACAAGGCCTAATTTAATAATTGTGCACTTTGTATTTATCAGTGCAAAGGCATGCACGTCTGTGGGGCTTTGAGACAGTCAGGTAAGCACTGGTGGCTGTCAGGATGGAAGACCTGATTTGGACAAAATCATCTGTATGACTCATTAAACTTTCGTTATTGTTGTTTTTCATTTCTGTTGGGGCTATTTCTTAGGGAGCATCTCTGCAGAACTCAAGCTGTTCTATTTCTTATATGTACAAGAAAAAATATATATAACATGCTTTGAAGCCTGAACAATGTTCACATCATTATGCTAGACCTATTGACTTTATTTTCCGTGTGATTTCAGTGCTCCAGAGGGCTTTGATCTGTCACAGGGCTCCCTTGGGGTAATTGCTGCTGTTCTCAAGTCATTCGCATTCAGACAGGTAGGTGGGAGTGAGTAGAATTAGCCAATTGTACAGAAAATCAAAGGTGCTTGCTTGCACCAGTACCTACTTCTGAGAATTACCATGAGTTTTGCCTGCCACTGACTAAGAAAGGAAGGAAGGAAGTGACATCTTTAAGATCCTGGGCTTGGGCAGGCTGTGGTGACGACCAGCTGTTATTATTCTTCTGGCTGGTTTCTGGCCTGCTGTGATGTCTTTTATAAATCTTGTAGAACTTGAATTAAAAAACCTGCTGGAAAGACTTCTTTTACCTTTTTCAAATACATCCCTTAACATGCTCATGAGCTTGATTAATGAGGAAGAGTTAAAAGTAAATAAATAAAAATGAAGACAAGCAAATGAAGTAGGAGAGGGTGCAGAACTGAAAGAAATTCAAGGAGAACTGTAAGATGAAGAGGAAGGAGATAAGGGCTGTTACGGTTTGTGTCTAGATGTCCTCCCAAAGCCTCATATGGTCATAGGTGGCTTGATCTAGAGTGTGTGTTACTAGAATTGATTCATGGTGCAATGCTAGGCTCAAGGGCACTAGAAATAAGGGCACGAGTGCCACCTGCCCTAAGTAATCTGGGTAAGATAAAAGGGCCAGAAAGACTCTGTTAAGTTCCCTTGTTGCTTTTTCTGTCTTCCGCCACCATGAACTGTTGCCCCTCTGCCACCCTGCCTTGGAGCCAGTCGATTATGGACTGAAACCTCTATGAACTCTAAGCCAAATAAATCTTTCCCCCTTTAACCTTGGGTGTCAGGTATTTTGTCTCAGCAATGAGAGAAAAGTAAGTAACACAAGGGCCATCAGGGACCTGGGACCTGACTATTTCTCTGCTCAAGACCCTGCAGTGTTCCTGAAAGGGGGCTCCCAGCCCTTGGCCAGCTGAGAGAGAGCCTGGTTGGGCACAGGGTGGACAGAGAGACTGACAGCACGTGCCGGCCTGCGTTGCACACGTCTGTTGGACTTGGCACCTCTCACTACCAGCTGCTGGCACAGAATTGGAAGGGGCAGGTGGGAGTGTTGGGAAGGGGGAAGGAAGGGGAGAGGGGATTATGTGCAGTTGTTCCCAAAAGAGGAAAGAGGAGGAGGGCGGGAGGAATGAGGCCAGGAGAGGCGCCAAGCAAGCCCACAACAGCATAGTGGGCCTTATCCTAAGTGCCCTTTGCAGCAGGTGAAGGTACTGAGTCAAAGTGCAGTGGCCACAGGGACGAGGTTGCAGTAGGAATGCAGGCACTGGGCCAGGGCTGGGCACAGTGTCAGGAGGACTTTCTCACTCTCCCTCTGACCCATCTACTGTCCTCATTCCAGTATAGTCATTGTGTTGCTTCCCTCTTTTTCCTACAAGTTCAAAGATTTTTATTTCCCTCCTCAGACAATGTTTTTGTTTGTTTTCTTTCTAAGCTCACAAAGATCTGTAAGCTGTTTGTATTTTCTCACCTATCTGGGGAGAACAGGGAAAGAATAAGCCAGCCCACTTACCAGGCCCTAGGAAATGTAAGCAATATTCCCAAAGTCACCTGATTCAGCCAGTGGAAACAAATGCTGATTCTTCTTCCCGGCACCACTTGCTCTACCCCAATCTGCTCTGATCCATAATTTCAACCATGGGCCAAGAGTCATGAGCGGTGAATATGCTCCCCAGGGATAGCCATATTATTATGTCATGTCATTGTGAAAACTTACACAGGCATCTCCTCTGTGTTCACCATTGATTCAAAAGAAGCGCACTGGCTCTTCAGGAAGCTCACTGACTAGGTGGTCCCTTCCTAGGTCTCTGTCCAGTTGTCTATTACCTGAAGGGATTGAGCTCTAGTCACTTCTGCTAGCTTGAAAATCACAACTCCATGACCTCTGCTTGTGATAAAGCTGACATCGCATGTAACAAAATAGGCAAGACTCCACATTGCAGCTGAGATTGATTACTGGTTTTGTACAAGGGAACAGCAAGATCTGTTTGCTTCTAGGATGCTCTCAGCAGCCAGCGGGTCAAAATAACATGATACAGAATTATCAACATTCAATCCAAAAAAGAGAGAGACAACTTCATATTGCAAGGCCTGGTGACAAAGCTTCAAGCTCTCAACTGTGTCTCAGGTTCAAATCCTATCTCTATCATCTATCAACAGGGTGAGGATATCAATAAAGCCTCTATAATAAGGTCAATGTGGTGAATGATATCCCCATGTAATGCAACGGGATAGATTTTGGCTACTAGCACCAAATGAAAAGGGAAGTTTGTCAAAAATAAAAAGGGAGACCGCTCCATAGATCAGGGTATCTACCACCGCAATATCCCACCTTTAACCTCCTGCCGATTTCTCTTTCAATGCCCTGACTTACCCACTTGTGCCATGGCAATCCAACAACAAAATATCAAAAGTTCAGAGACACATTTCTATTTTCCTATTCAGGAAAAGGACTACAGAACATTAACCATTTACAGTTAAGAAACACCAGAGAAGTCGAATCTGATTTCCTAGAAGCTGTACCCAGTGATGACACACCAGGTACTCAGAGAGGTTTCAGGTTCTTTCCAGCCCTGGGCCTTCTTGATCAACTTCTAGCTATGCGGAGAGCAGTCTCCTGATACTCTCTGACACAATTCCTGGCCTTCCTTCTCCTCTTGGTCTCATCCTTAGGCTGCTAGTTCTCTCCAAATTCTACCCAATGCCTAGCTCACCTGGACCTGCATCTATGTGGCAACTACCCAGCTCCTCCCTCGTCCAAGCTTTATGTCTTACAGTGTTCACAGCTGCCCACCAGTCTCAGCCCCACCTTGGAATGGTGTTCGGACATAAGCAATGTATTGATTAGGTACCCATGTGCATTTTCAAATTGACTTCCATAGACCGTATTCCAGTTTTGAAGTACTCTAGACACCATATTGATTTAAGATACATATATGCATAGTCATTCTACATTGGGTGCTTCCTCAGAAATCCCAACTGTCTCAACAAGGCCTTGCTCATTGATACCTTGCTTGACTAACATCTAGGGAGATCCCAACTTCATGCCCAGCATCCTTAGGAAACGGTCAAACCTGGTAGGAATTAGAATCCACCACCAATCTGGTCTGTCTAGGGAGACTTCTTTCAGCCTCCCCTTCACCTGACAGTAGAAAAGAAATAGACTCCAGGTTTGAATTCTCACTCTCCCACTTCTTACCTCACCACTCATTTTATCTTCCTGCTCCTCAGTTTCCTTGCCTGTAAGACAGGAATAAAAACACCCTTCCAGAGATCCCCTGAGAATGAATGGCAATACAGAGTGTTTGTCACATAATATTGTTCAGGGGATAGTAGCTGTTTTTCTTGGAATAACCATTAATTATAGCAGGCTTGAAGATGGCTGCTGCCTGCCCCATCCCTGTGTCCATCAGGTATTTCACACACACACACCTCCACCTATCCCATCCCTCAGCTGGTTTCTAACTCCTCTGTTCTAACTCCTGTAACTCCTCTGTTCCTCCAAGTGAGTTCTGGCACCGGTCTGCTCTCACTGCCTGTGGGTGGTGTGCTAGGGCCGATGTGTACCAGTTCACAAGAGCTGGCCTTGACAGCTCTTCCCAGCTCCATGTTCAGGGGCTGCCATATTGAAATCAGACACATTCAGAGTATATACACCAATGAGCTCAGCAAACACTATGATGAGGGCTTTGTCCTCACAGAGTGTTTGTTAAGCATTTTCCCATGAATACAGATAGGCCTGCACTTTAAAGCTAAATCCAGGCCAAAATGTAGAGGGCAACACCCAGTTTAAGAGCAGAAACAGGAGCTGGGAGTGTGGCTTACAGGTAGAGCAAGTGCTTAGCATGCCTGAGGGCCTGGATTTGACCCCCAGCCTGTACACTCCCCCCACACACACAGCTTCGCGCAAGCAACATCACACCAGGAAACAAAAAGCAATCTAACAAATGTACACTGTCCTCAAGGTTAACCCTGCCACAGATGAGATCAGCTCAGCACAACTCAAGTATTTTCTTCCTGCCTGGTCCTCCTGGGGATTCGGTCATCAGAGTGCTGTGGTGAAAATCTCCCAGGCCCTCAGTGGCACACCCTCCGTGGGCTCCTAGAATGCCTCTGCTCTGGCCTGGAAATGCTGTATAGCAAATGGAGTACAGAAGAAGACAAATTCTTTCCAGGTGGGAAAGGAAGCCCTGGCTTTCTTTCTTTGTTGACAAGGCTCTGAACCACACCATTTGCTAAGGTACAAGCATTTTCAGCTTGTGGCTGCTAGAGGGCCTAAGCAAGTGTCCTGCCCATCCGTGCTGTTCAGCTAGGGTTCTCCTTGTTGAGGACCACATTAGGAGTGTGTCATGAGTAGTTACTCAATGTTTGGCCAAGCTTACCTTTCTAATCCCCTTGAAGAAAGAAGACTTCCTTAAGCAAATGAATGGGTATGTGGTGAGGTGGGAGGAAGGATATTTTTCCTTATAGGAAATGTGTTCTCATGGATTTCAGAAAGCGGACCATCATCTGGTTTTATGGAATCCTGTCTATCTGTAGCGGATTTCATGAACCTCATTTTGGCAGTATTTTGTTCCTGCCTGTACCTGAAAAGACTCCCCACAACCTGATCCGGGGATATCCCCCACCTTTCTGCCAGGTAAGTCTTAAATCTTCTCTCCCTCATCCTCCACAGGATCCACACATTTGACTCTTTTTCCTTTCTTCATAACTACAGAGTGTCCATAGAATGCAAAACATTCATCATCACCCCAATTCTCCCACATACACAGCCCTCTACCCGCTGCCCCTAATATTGGCACATAGGGAATTTGTCCTTTGAAGAGTTTATGACAATCTTAACAAAGATGACAACAGAAAGCAATGGACATAGAAACAGAAACAGGACTGAAGTTCCAGGAATCTCCCAACTGCATATTTACCCAGATATCTGGCTCACACTAAAATGTGAAATGCAGGCGAGTGCGCTAACAATTTTGTCTCCCTTCTTTTTCTCCCTTGACACCTTCAGGGCCATGTCTCCTGTCATCAGGTACCAAGAAAGACCTCCCAGTAATAATGGCAGATGTGAAACAGTGGGGAATTACCGAGGCACTTCGCGGGCTGCAAATCCCTCTCTCGCACTTTCTCGTCTGTGCTTCCGGTGAGCCTCAGACCCTCTCTGTGACCCAGGCCTTGACGTGTCTGCCGTCCTTTAAATGAGATGATGCAACGGGGTTGGCTGAGTGCCTGGTAGAGGCCTGGTCACAGTCCTCCTTTCCCTAAAATTATGTTTTAACTCAACTTTATGAAGAAAAGCCACACACTTTCCATCCTCCCCACCACTACCTCACGCTGGCAACAGTTTCAGTTCTCATGAAGGGAGGTTTGTGTGTAAACACCAGACCCCTCCTCCCACAGGCCGGACCTCCGAAGGACTCCTGTGGTCCTCTGAAGTCAGCTAGGGCGGGGTCAAGACAACAGCTGCCATTCTCCCAGGACTGGCTTTCATCTCTTGCTTTGTCTTTTCAACCTCTCTCTCTTCTTTCCTCCCAAACTAGTGAATACACAAGTGCTTCAAGGTAAGGACTTTAGACTCCTTTAATTTATCTTCTTATCTTTCCAGGAAGAATTAACTCTATCCTTCTGTATTGTCGGTGGAAATGTAAACTTGTACAACCTCTACGAAATGGAGGTTCCTCAAAAACGACAAGCTAAAACTAGAAATTCCATTTGATCTAGCTTTCCCCTTCTATGTATCTTCCTGAAAGAGTTAAAGACATATTACAGTGATACATGCATACCCATGTTTATTGCAGCACAGTTCATAATAGCTAAATCTTTGAAGCAGCTATCTGTCCGTCAACAGATGAATGGATAAAAGTATGCTATTTACCCAGTGGAGTACTACTCTGCCAGAAAGGATAAATCTGAGTCATTTGTGGCAAAATGGGCATACCTTGAGACCATAATTTTAAGTGAAATGAATCAGACACCTAAGCTTAAATACCACATGAATTCTCTTATATGAGAACCCAAATATAAATAAAGGGCAAAATAAAAGATAGATAATAGGAAGTAGGGTGATAGATCTTTCTTAAATGGGAAAGAGATCAATAGATGGAGGAAGGGGAGAGGAAGGGAAGGGAAAGGGGATGTAAAAAGTAATTAAGATGTGTCATGTACATATACCAACTCCACACGAGGAATGTAAATATCGTGTACTGCAATCATGTAATAATACATAAAATTTTAATTAAAAAATATATGTGGGTGGTGCCACACCTGCCTGGCAAGTGCAAGATCCTGCGTTTGGTCCCTGGTACCAAAAAAAAAAAAAAAAATATATATATATATATATATATATATATATATATATACACACACATCTGGAGTGTTAGGTTTTTTTCAATTCAGAGTGCCTACTTGATTCTTCTAGAATATTTGCCATTTAAACTTATTATTTACTCATACTGATGTGAGCAGTTAGGTGACTTTTCTCCTCATGTAAGTCTGGTATCTCCTTCAGCACACTGTCAGATAGAACAATGGTCAGGACCAGTAGTCTGCTCAGTGCCATGCTTATCAATAAGTTGGATATAAGATTATTTTATTCATTCAATATGTCCTTTCTATCTCTTGACCTGAACTCCTGCTGGAGCACATGCTTGTTATGAGTATACTGTCCAGACCTTCCAGTTGGACTGTGAAGCCTTTCAAGAAAATCTGATTGCAGCTTGATGTTATTTCTTATGACAACAGATTCCTCACTTTGATTCTGTGAGTGTCGGTTTCTTCACTGTAGGGGGCAGGTAAAGAGCACCCTAACTCCACCGACTCCTTCTTCCCATCCAGTTCAGCAAAAGTGGGTGTAGCACAGAACACCAGATTTACCAGGGAGTCACAGAAGGAGGGATCAAGTGCTATTTAAGAGGAATCAGGTTGGTTCTTATTGAAGTTGGGTGGTGGTGCATGGGGTTCATCAGACAATTCTGTAGTTCTGTGGATATCTGAAAATACCCCCACTGAAAAGAATATAAATAAATAGAAGGAAATCCAGAAGGCTCCACATGGCAGGTCGCAGCTGTGCAGAACTGAAGCACGGGTCAGATTTCAATGAGCTGACCCTGGGTCGGGGGCCAGTCCGGGCAGGGAACATTATGAGCCAAGACTCTGAGGCTGCAAAATACAAGATGTTCACAAAGCACTGGGAGCAGTCATGCATGGCTGCAGCACAGGGGGCAAGAAGGAAGCAGGAGAGATGGGCTGGAAAGATATCCTGGGGTCAGAGCAAAGGGCCTGCCGTGGCCCCATGAGGAGCCAGGCCAGGGAAAGTGACCTCATTGTTGAGGTGAGTCGCCCTGCCCCTTCGAAGTCAGCCTGGCCACAGGCCCGGAGCAGGGCATGTGGCAGCAACTGGCAGAGGAGGAGGCTGGCAGCATCACAGGCTTGCTTCTTCCCCAGGAAACAAGGTTTCCTGTAACTCAGACCCATGAATCAGCATTTCCTCTGTCAATAATACACAGCAAGAAATGTAACAGCACGGAGCTCGGGGGAATGGAGACAGGAAGGAATATTCCATGACATAGCTGGCCCCTGCTCTCCCTTCCCCTCACGAAGTGCTCCTGATAAGCTCCAAATGCCACTCTGGTTTCATAAGATAAGTTTCTCACAGTACCCTGAGAGGATTAAGTGCTACACAGCACCCAGCTCTCTCATCAGACGATGTGTTTCTGCCGCCAGTGAAGTTTTTTCACTGTGTAAGAGATAAACATTCACAACAGTGCTCCGACCTGAAGGAGATTTGAGTATATGTGTGATTCACCTTTGAGGTTTTACATCTCCAGGTCCCATACTTTAGCTAATTCTCATGATAACCCTGTGAGGTACACAGGGGATGTTATACCCATTTCATACACAGCTACCAAGAGAGAGACATGAAGTGATTCTTCCCAGTGTTTTAAAAAGGCTGAATTAACCCAACTCTTCAAACTCCAGCCTGGATTCTTTTCAAAGTCATATACATTTAATAAATACAAGTCTCTGTGAATATATATGCCTACGTGTTAATATATTTATCTTAAATATATTTAACAATATTAATATAATCACTAATATTTTTAGGGCAGGCATGATGGCCCATACATGTAATACCAGCTACTTGGGAGAATGAAGCATAAAGGTTGCGAGTTAAAGAGTTCAAGGCCAGCCTGAACAATTTAGTATAACCTTGTCTCAAAATAAAATAATTTTTTCAAAAAGGAGCTAAGGATTTAGCTCAGTGATAGAGAGCCTAACACACATGCGGCCCTGGGTTTTATCTCTGGAACCAAACACTGTATATGTACATGTTTACGTGTGTGTGTGTGTGTGTGTGTGTGTGTGTAAAGGCATATAAATAAAAGGCATATAAATAATAAAGATACATGTGTGTTAAGATTCTTTAGAGGAACAGAATTTGTAGAAAAATATATATATATAATTATGTAAGGGAATTTCTTAAGTAGGCTTATAGGATCAGAGGTGGCACGGTTCACAATGGCCAGCTTCTTAGCCAAACATAGAAGCCAAGGACAAGAGGCATCAAGGATACAGCCCCAGTTCAAGGTTGAAGGCCAGGAAACTCACTGGAGAGCCATTGCTATGAGTCTGCTTTGGAAGATGAAGAAACTGGAGACTGATATCCAAAGGTGAAGGCAGTAAGAGATACATCTGCTCTAGAAGACTGAAGATCTTTTAAAACACACCAATTTCCTTCTATTTTTTTTTTAATTCCATCCAGGATACAAGCCTAGTGGTTGGTGCCACCCACAGCCAAGGTGGGTCATTCCTCACTCAGTTTTCTGGCCTACATTCCAATCATCTCTGGAAACACCCTACTGACACACTCAGAAGGGAGTTTAACTAATCTGCTATGGGCTTCTTACTCCAGTTAAACTGACGTATCCTAATGAATGGTCACATATATACACACATATTTAGTTCGTAATATTAACATATATATTGTATATGTACCCAAAAGACAACATGTACTCTCTTATTCCATTCACAGATTTATAAAAAAATTTATTGACTGCCTTCTATATGCCAGTCTTCATTTTAGACACATTCAGTAGTGAACAAAATTGACAAAAAGCCCTGCCCTCACAAAGCTTATATTCTAGTTGAAAAGCTCAGACAATAAAGAAAAGACTACAGTGTGTTAAAGGGTTACACTTGTTTTGAGAATAGAGAAAGCAGAGTAGAAGGTAAGAGCTTTGGGAGAGTGGTATAATTTTATATAGGATGTTCAGGAACAATCGCACTGAAAGTGTGACACTTAATGAGAGAGATCTGGAGAGGTAAACAAGCTACGTGTCTATACGGGTAGAAGGAGTCAGCAAAAACATACAGCACACACGAAGTGCTTGAGGGGGTAGCTCCTGGTGTGCTGAAGGAATAGTGAGTGAGTAGTCAGCCTGTGGCTGGACTGGAGAAAGAAAAGAGAAAAAATTAAACAAATATAGATTGGGGATTAGATCATGTAGTCCATTATAAAGACCTGAATTTGACTTAGACAACTTGCTATCATGTGCTAAAACTAAAACAACAGGTAAAACAAACAAACAAAAAGTAAAATGCAAAAAAAACCACAACAAAAACAGGTTAAGGGGAGGTTAAAGTTGGTGGGAAGACTATAGAAAGAAGCTTTCAGGGATACATGAAAAGGAAGAGAAAGAAATGTGTCCCCTCCCTCCTCCTCCTCCTCCTCCTCCTCCTCCTCCTCCTCCTCCCTTCTCTCTCTTCTCTCTCTTCTCTCTCTCTCCCAAGACCCAAACCCTCCAGCCAATTGCCATGGCTAGTCCTTCCTAGAGCCATGCAGGGCAGGGCAGGAAGAAGAATGACCCAAGAACTCAGTCTGCTTCTTGTTTAGCCAGGCCATACAGACTCATCGGTCCTCCTTTCACTTGGGCTACAGGTTGAAAGCCAAACAAAATCCTCCTGAGCCTCCCACCCAGGCCTTCCCAGGGAGGGTCACCTTCCAAACACAGCTCCTCCAGAACAGCAGGGCAAGGAGCCCCTGGAGAAAAGAGGAAGGAGAACAAACACCCAAGCTGTCAGCTCCACCCTGAAAAACTCAGTCCCTAACACAAGGTCCACAATATCCCTTGGTTTGGACCCTGACTTGTCTCTGAGGATGAAGTCATGGGTGTGGGTGTGGACAGGAGTGTGAAGGAAAGGGAACAGAACAACCTTGTCCTGTTTCTGGAAGCCAACGTCCCTCACTCTTCATTCCTTCTCTTTATTAATCTTATGGGCTTAAGAGGCACATCAACCTCAGCTGATCCCCACACTACTTCCACCCCAACTCCCTCCTACCTTGGAGAGTTTCAGAAAATTCCTTTGTGTAGCTTCTCCAAACTTGGACACTATCACAAATAAGAGGGCAGTTTGGTCTGCAAAGCTTTTTATGAATGTCCTTATAAACTGCCTCCAAAGTCACTAAAATAGAACAGAACAACGCAGTACTCCAAGTCAATAGTGGACACAGGTGGAGAAGTCCCTCACCATTCTTTTTATCAAACCAGTGAGCAAATGTGAG